TTTGAGCCTATGTGTGTCTTTGCATGTGAGATGGGTCTCTGGAATACAGCACACCCATGGGTCTTGACTGTATCCAATTTGCCAGTCTGTTTCTTTTAATTGGGGCATTTAGCCCATTTACATTTAATGTTAATATTGTTATGTGTGAATTTGATCCTGTCATTATGATGTTAGCTGGTTTTTATGCCCGTTAATTGATGCAGTTTCTTCATAGCATCAATGGTCTTTACAATTTGGCATGTTTTTGCGGTGGCTGGTACCAGTTGTTCCTTTCCATGTTTAGTGCTTCCTTCAGGAGCTCTTGTAAGGCAGGCCTGATGGGGACAAAATCTCTCAGCATTTGCTTGTCTGTAAAGGATTTTATTTCTCCTTCACTTATGAAGCTTAGTTTGGCTGGATATGAAATTCTGGGTTGGAAATTCTTTTCTTTAAGAATGTTGAATATTGGCCCTCACTCTCTTCTGGCTTGTAGGGTTTCAGCCGAGAGATTCACTGTTAGTTTGATGGGCTTCCCTTTGTGAGTAACCTGACCTTTCTCTCTGGCTGCCCTTAACATTTTTTCCTTCACTTCAACCTTGGAGAATCTGACAATTATGTGTCTTGGGGTTGCTCTTCTCGAGCAGTATCTTTGTGGTGTTCTCTGTGTTTCCTGAATTTGAATGTTGGCCTGCCTTGCTAGGTTGGGGAAGTTCTCCTGGATAATATCCTGAAGAGTATTTTCTAACTTAGATCCATTCTCCCCATCACGTTCAGGAACACTAATCAAACATAGATGTGGTCTTTTCACATAGTTCCATATTTCTTGGAGGCTTTGTTTGTTTCTTTTCACTCTTTTTGCTCTAATCTTGTCTTCTCACTTTATTTCATTAATTTGATCATCAATCACTGATATCCTTTCTTCCACTTGATTGAATCGGTTATTGAAGCTTGTGCATGCGTCGCGAAGTTCTTGTGCTGTGATTTTCAGCTCCATCAGGTCATTTAAGGTCTTCTCTACACTGTTTATTCTAGTTATCCATTCTTCTAACCTTTCTTCCAGGTTTTTAGCTTCCTTGCAATGGGTTAGAACATTCTGCTTTAGCTCGGAGAAGTTTGTTATTACCAACCTTCTGAAGCCTACTTCTGTCAACTTGTTAAACTCATTCTCTGTCCAGTTTTGTTCCTTTGCTGGTGAGGAGCTGCAATCCTTTGGAGGAGAAGAGGCACTATGGTTTTCGGAATTTTCAGCTTTTCTGCTCTGGTTTCTCCCATTCTTTGTGGTTTTATCTACGTTTGGTCTTTGATGTGAGTGACCCCTACAGATGGGGTTTTGGTGTGGATGTGCTTTTTGTTGATGTTGATGCTATTCCTTTCTGTTTGTTAGTTTTCCTTCTAACAGTTGGGCCCCTCAGCTGCAGGTCTGTTGGAATTTGCTGGAGGTTCACTCCAGACTCTATTTGCCTGGGTATCACCAGCATAGGCTGCAGAACAGCAAATATTGCTGCCTGATCCTTCCTCTGGAAGCTTCATCCCAGAGGGTCACCTGCCTGTATGAGGTGTCTGTCGGCCCCTACTGGGAGGTGTCTCCCAGTCAGGCTACACGGGGGTCAGGGACCCACTTGAGGAGGCAGTCTGTCCATTCTCAGAGGTCGAACACCGTGCTGGGAGAACCACTGCTCTCTTCAGAGCTGTCAGACAGGGACATTTAGGTCTGCTGAAGCTATCTGCTGTCTTTTGTTCTGATATGCCCTGCTCACAGAGGTGGAATCTACAGCAAGGCAGTAGGCCTTGATGAACTGCAGTGGGCTCTGCCCAGTTTGAGCTTCCCAGCCTCTTTGTTTATACTGTGAGCACAAAACCACCTACTCAAGCCTCAGCAACAGTGGACGACCCTCCCCTCACCACGCTGCAGCATCGCAGGTCAATCTCAGACTGCTGTGCTAGCAGTGAGCAAGGCTCTGTGGGCATGGGACCTGCCAAACCAGGCACGGGAGGGAATTTCCTGGTCTGCCTGTTGCGAAGACTGTGAGAAAAGTGCAGTATTTGGGCAGGAGTGTACCGTTCCTCCAGTTACAAACTGTCATGGCTTCCCTTGGCTAGAAAAGGGAAATCCCCCAACCCCTTGCACTTCCTGGGTGAGGCGATGCCCTGCCCTGCTTTGGCTCACCCTCCATGGGCTGCACCCACTGTCCAACCAGTCCCAATGAGATGAACCAGGTACTTCAGTTGGAAATGCAGAAATCACCTGTCTTCTGCGTCAATCTCGCTGGGAGCTGCAGATCGAAGCTGTTCCTATTTGGCCATCTTGGAAGCTGGGCCTAAATCCTCTCTCTTTGTTTTTAACTGAACTTCTGATATACAGAATTGGATTAAACATAATCCTTAGTTGTAATACACTGTCATCTTTGGTCCCTTGCATAGCCCTCTTTAATTCTAATTTCCTTGTTTATGTATTTACCCCTTTATAATGTAATGCACACCCAAGAATCCACCACCCAACCCAGTGCCTAGAACATTGATAATCAAGCACCTTTATGTCCCTCGTGTCATCTCCGCCAATCTGCACCCTTGCTGCAGGCAACCACTCTTAGAATTTTGTGCTTATTATTCCTTTGCTCTTTTCCTTATAGATTTTTTGTGCATACATGTGTACCTCAATAATGCCTTGTTTCATTTTAGTTGTTCTGCAACTTCCTAAATTACTTACTCCTATACCAGTACCACTCAGTGTCATTGCTACAGCGTTAAATAGCCTGATATCTGGTAGGTAAGTCCTGCTGTCCCCACATTCCTGCTTCCTTTTTAGAAGGAGATGCCACAGGGAACTGGGGACTCATTCCTGAGGACTTCACCCTGCCCTGGATGAAATTAGCACTAGCTGTCTCTGCAAGCACCCTTCTGCTTCCCCTGCCTGCTCTTCCATGTTGGATGTGTTTCTTTCAGTACCTGTAGGGGCGGCTGGGTTGTTCTAGTGCTGCAGTGACAGAGAACACTGCAGAGGTTGGGAAGATCCGTGGAGCAGGGTGCATGCCAACCCAGAGGCACCCCCACCTGACACTCTCCCCATGTGACAAGGGATGTCCCATCCGAGGCCAGCACGTCCAACCATTGTGCAGCTCCCCGGGGCAGGCTCCAAGTTAAACACAGTCAGATTTTCTGGGACAATTTTAAGCTGAGTTAGGAGTATCCTCTACCAGACCGAGGAACTGGTGCAGTGTTACTAATTCTGTCTGCCTGCAGGGCCTTGCTGGGGTTCTTCAGTGGACTCAGGGCAGTATGAAAGAGCTACTTTTCATTCATTACCTGCATCAGAAGACCTGGGCTGCATTTTCCTTTGTAGAGATGCAGGCTAATTTCAGCTGCCTCCTCTCTTCTGAACACCAAGTTTCTCATTCTTATTGACCCAGCACCCACAATATCCAAAGCAGAGCGGTAAGGGCTGGACAGTTAGCATGAGACCCAGCCCTGCCTGTGGGAGCCCATAGGGGTGAGGACAGCTCCAGCAACAGGGAATGGTTCTACAGCGATCTAGGGTAGTCAGGGATTTCCTGAAGTTTGAGGGCAGGGAGACCACATTTCCCAAACCCCAAACTAGGACAATGAGGTCTGGCAGCAGGACAGAATATTTCAAACTAGGATCGTCTCATAAAACTCTCAGGTTTCGTCACCATAATGATGAGAACCATTCACAGGCCTCTGCCTGGGAGAGTCTGATGAGGGTGTGGAGAAGGGCTCACAGCAGCAGGTGTGAGCTGTGTTGGATGGGGGCAGAGAAGGTCACGGAGACCGAGGGAGGCTGCGTTCCTGATGGAGTCAAGAAGATAGAAAGGATGGAGCACTGAGATGTTTAGGAGGTGGACATGAAAGCACTTGGGGGTAGGTTGGGCTTGGAGAGCAGAGGAGGGACATCATGAGTGTGTCTGAAGGCCTCAGCCTGGTAACACGGCTACAAAGACAGGGCTCCCACTAGAGAAGTACAGCAGTAAGAAGGAAGGGCAAGGAACTTGGTTTCACTGCAGAGCATTTTCATGTCTGTGAGGTCACGGACAGGGCGTGTGGACCAGTGTATCAGAATCACTCAGATCATGTTAAATTGTTGCTTATGATGCCGTAGGTCAGGGTGGAGCACGAGATCCTGCATTTTCAACAGGCTCCCAGGTGACACCGGTGCTACCAGTCCACAGACCACATAGCCAGGCTAACGAGGGTCCCAGACAAGGACTGGGCAGAGATCGCGTGTGACAATGTCCCTAATTTGGATAAGGAGTTAAGTACATGTTGAATTGAGGTATGTAGTATCATTTTTCACTTCTCCCCACAAGAAAAATGTCTCAACTTCCAGGAAAACCATTATCAATCATCCTGATCAAAATCCAGGAATGCAAAAATGGAAGGGGAGATGTGCCTTTATATTATTTTTTTCATATGAAGAAATGATTCCTGTAACTTTCACAGGTATGACTTTGGTTGTAAGCAGTTGAACAGAGCCATTTTTTTCTTTCTGCCTCTTCGGAACTGAATTTTCTGATGAGGTTAGCTCCTTCTCTGCGTTTCACCCATGCTCTCACCAGCACAAGGTGACAGGATCTGCACTCAGACAGGAAGTGGCTGATGTTGCGGTAATATTAGAGTCAGGGCAGCTCTGTGCCTTCATCACATCATGACAGGGGAAGAATCAGAAGGTTCAGAACGCTAGAGACCAGGACTCCCATGCCTCCTCCTCATGATACCTGGACTCAGGTGTTCTCAGGCATGTCCATTAGTATGAATTGAAGTCAACATGTGCCCCCTGCCAGGGGTCAGTCTCATTCTGAGACCACAGTCTGCCTGCAGAAATAAGCAGTGAAGGAATTTCAGGCACAGGCCCAGGGTGCAGGGGGATGTATGTGGTTCCTCTGAGAATCAGGAAGCTGCGTCCTGCCCCAGGGTTGTCTCTGCAGACCCCTTTTCCCTCCGCTTATATTCAGGGAAGGGTTGCAATTCGGCTCCTGTATATTGGGCTTATTTTGAACTTTAATGACACCAAAAAAAAAAAAAAACAGTTGATTTTGTGACTTGGTTTTCTTTGGGAGTTTTAAATAAATATTACTATAGAAATATCATTCTCCTGGTCCAAGGCTTCTCTTCTAAGAGGTGTGGAGACAGAGGAGAATCATATTGGATCCTGGCCTTTCCCCTGCTCGTGGAGATTTTGTGGGAAGGCCAGTCAAGCTTATGGGTGCCCCATGCAGACAGCTTTGAAAGACCTGCCTGAGAAAGGGGTTCTGGTTACATCCTTGCCACCCCAACAAATGCTCCCCAAGGCTGTGGGGTTTTATGATTCCCCACAAGAGAGTGAGCCCCAGCATTTCAGAACTGACCAGATGCTTAGAGAAAATCTCGTTCAGTGGCCTCAGACAGGAAAGAGAAGCTCAGAGAGGGAAAGAACGTTGTAGCGTCCCAAGGGGTTAATGGTGGAACTGAGATTCAAACCCCTGTCTCCTGAACCCAGTCACCTCTGCCTCCACCTCCCTGCCTTCCTTGACCTGAGGAGTGGCATTCACTGCAGCAGCCCAGGTCCCAGCCAGCCTTTCATCCCTGAGGCCCTGGGCTCAGGAGATCTCAGACTCAATCCTGAAGAGAGAAGATGGAGCAGCCTGTTGGAATGGAAGCTGATCCCAAGTCCACATCCATAGAGATCAAGGCTCCTGGACCCCAGTCCAGTCCTCTGTTTTTCTCCCACTTTCCTTCAATTTCCAACCAGGGTTCCAGGCTTGCTACCAACATCCCAAGGGTGACATTTCTCTAGGGACACCATCTGCCCATTTTATCTACCCCAGAGGATCTTCTTCCACAGACCCAGGGAGACCAAATAACAACAGCAAACCAAACATCAATGGCATCTGAGCGTTATGTCAGACCATGCTTTAATCCTTTCCATAGGTTACCTCCTTTAATTCACACAAGCACCATCAGAGACGGGTCCACGAGCTGAGTTTGCTAGGACCTTGGCTGGAATAGAACTTGAATTCCTCTGTGAAAATAGAGCCCACTCCGACCCCTTCCATGGATAGATTAGTGGTGGATCTGCCTCTGCTTTCGATGGTAAGAGGCTACTGAAAGAGTCTGGCATGGGCCTTGCACGAGGGTGGAGGCTGAGCTAGGATTCATCTCCAATACAGCCCCCCATGTCCCAGCCCAGGCTCTCAAAGCCTGGGCAAGGGATGGGACCTTTTTCCACCTCTTCACTCCCTGCCCAACCCAAACACAGAGGTTTCTCCAAGATGTGTATGCTTCGAGGTCAAGAAGACCTAACAGTGGTCCTGGACACAAACCCCCAGGAGGACCCAAGTCTCCAGCGCCTTCCTGGAGCCAGTCATTCTTCCTCACAGCTGGGAGGGGGTCGAGAGTGAACACCCATGTGGCTCAGCAGGGCTGGGGTGCAGCAGCAAGCCAGCAGTGGACAGACAGCTGAGCGCTGCTGAGCTCTTGGCCAGGAAGGCAGAGGCCTGTGGAAGGAAGGCCCCCAGAGAGGGGTTCAGGTCTCTAGACCCCTTGTTCCTTTGACAGTGCTAGTGTGAGCCCATGGCTAAAATGAGCCTCACCTGTAAAGCTGAGTGAGGCCTCAGTTCAGCCAGTCCTGCCTTTGATAAGAACAGCAGCTTGAACCTGCCTTTGGGCCTTGTTCAGCCCCACCTCCCCGAGGAAACCTGCCTGGCCTCTGTCTAGAGCTCAGAAGCCACATCCCCAGGTCTGCAAGGCTCTTCTAACATTTATCTCACAGACATCACTTGCCTTGCCATTCACTTTTTCATGTGCATTTTTTTTTCTATCAAATCTAATTTGATTTGGTACAGTCAAGGCCCTTTCACTGCCAGGATTAAATGTGATTTCTGTTCTGCCAAACGTCAACCAGTGCAGAGGCGCCTCAGCCATCATGCCAAGCCATTTCCCACTCTGATGGAGACACAAGCTGGAGAAGGAAGGCGAGGCTACTCTGCCAGCTGGTGGCTGAGACTGGCCAGGCACCCAGGGCTCCCAGTTGCCCAGCTGCATGGCAGGTCAGGGAAAGGAGGACAAATCCTCTCTTAGGCCCTGCAGCGGAACTGAGGTCTAAGAACTGAGAACCAAACAGAATTCCAGATGTTCCTTGTTCCCAGTGCGTTTCCTAGTCCCTGGCCCTGCCCCTCCCACAGCCCCTCACTGGCTACCCCATTGGCCTGCCTGGCCCCATACCCTTGGTTCCTGGCAATAGTAAATTGTTCAACTGGATGAGGAGGGGAGGGGAAGAAAAAGAAGGCTGGTGGGTTGAGCAGATCTTAAGAGATGGCCCTGTGGCCTCCAGGTTTCCCTGAGGGGAAATAATGGTTATGGTCAGTGGGGAGGGAGGTGGAGTGTGGCGATTCATTGGTCAGAGACTGGGGTGCAAGAATGGGTTTAGGGGTGATGCTGAGGTTCATGGTGGCCCAGGTAATAGTGGCTGGGTGGAGGAGAGGGTCCCTGAGGATCTAGCAGTCAAGAATCAGGAGCCTAAGTGATGAGAAAGTGATCCCTGTGGAGGAATCATCAAGGGGTGGCAGGTATGGGTGGAGAGGGGGTGTGGGAGGCCAGGCCAAAGCCCTGACAAACGTGGGGCCAGCGGTCAGTGGATGACAGCATCAAGGAGTGGAGAGAGGACTGAGCCAAGTGGTGTGAACCACACAGGAAGGGGGATTTCTCACAACCAGAAGGTGGGTGTGGAGCTTTGTATGTGGCAGAGGAGCCAGGAGGGGCCGTGCCCTGCCTCCAGGCCTGAGTGAGTACACAGCCCCCAGAGAAGGTGGAAGGGCAGCGGGGTGCCGGGACAGATGCTTGGTCCAGTTAAGGCAGTGGAGGGGAGCTCACAGAGAAGAAGCTGGGGTTGCAGTTTTCATTATGTGGAGTGGCAGTTCCAAAGGGTGCAGTGGAAGATCTGAGTGGTGGGGAAGCTGAGGGCTGGAGTCAGAGGTGAGGGGGACAGAGCATCATCGGGGGATGGCTCTTTAGCAAAGTCAGCTGCTAGAAAGAGGTTCTACTAAGCATCAGGATCCAACAGAACTTCAAATTGTTCCATTCTACCTTCCTTCACTTCAAGGTTACATTCACCCTCCTCTTTTTCCGGAGGTGGGTACCATCCTGTTTCTAGGGCTCCTTTTTCGTTTTTCTGGAATGCCTCCTTGAGTAACTTTCAGACTAGGGGGATAGAAGCTCTTCTTTCAGAGCCACTGCACACATCCAAAAAGGAAGCTGCTGTTTGCTCTGCAACAGTGTAGCTCCCCTTAGCCTGGGAGAGTGAGGAGTCTGGGTGAAAATATTTTGCCAGACACACTCTTCTGTCAGTACTGAGTCAGGGAGCTGACGGGAAGGCCAGACCCTTGAGTTCTTCATCGAAGTGGAGGTGTCTTTCCCACAAATCCTGCCCACCTCTGTTGTGGAGGTTTTGCCCATGCTTTATTCAGCTTCTCTATTGGACCCTGACACCTCCAGGAGCCTCTCCCAAAGGCTGCCCTGCTCAAACAGAGCTGGATCAGGCTCTGCAACTGGGGCAGACAGGAACACAACTGTCCCAGATGTTGGGATTACAGTTCTTTGAGGATTACCCTATATTTACTCCTTGGAGCTTGGGATTTCTCTGGGACTCTTTTGGTGAGAGCCCTGTGCACCCCTGGTACACAAGGCTACTGGTCTCGCTGCTTGATTTCTCCACCATCCTGTCGCACCTGCTTCCTGTCTTCCTGGAATTTACCATAATGTCTGGCTGCTGATGGCCTTTCTTGTTTTCCAGCACCCTTATCCTGTCTCTTGTGCACACGCATGCACACATGAGCGAATCTTCTGTCATTTCAGAGAGACGCTGGGTGGGAGGGGTGCAGTGTGTGGGCCCAGGCTGCCCCCTTGAGCACCCTGCCTTCGTCCTTTGAACAGCCCCATGCAGTTCAGCTGGAACATTTGAATGGAATTTTTCAAGCACTCCCTGTTCTGAGTTGTCCCCTTTGGAGGTTTCTCACATCCTTGCTTTGCAGCGTTGCTAGGGAAGGCCATGCATTATTTAGGACTATTTTCCTGTGCAACACTCCTCTGTGCACAAGAAGTAACTTGATAGCTCCCTATCCCAGGGAAAAATGAGGGCCCCACCTGGACTGTGGGGACCATCTGTGTGGATGACGCTTGTTGGCACAGAGTTCATTTGAAGATGCTGCTTGTGTCCCAGCTGTAGTCACAACCCTTTTTACTGGGGAAACAGTGAAGCTTGTCAACAGAAAACTCTCCAAATTCCAAATGCTTCCTAGACGGGAGCTGAGGTCTCTGTTGCCCATGACAGGGCCAGTCGATACAGGGATGCCATATTTTAGAAGTATCATTACTACAGGTAATGATACACTTGACAATTTGCATGATTAAGTAAGTGGATTGACACCTAACAGGTGCAGACCCTGAGGGAAGAGGAGCCAAGTCATTGAGGAAGAGGTGACACTTGATTTGAGTCTGGAAAGATGAAGCATGCTCCTGGCAGGAAGTACAAGGAATAGTGTTCTAGGCAAAAGGAGCAGCATGAGGGGAGTCTCAGGGGCATGAAAGCAATTCTGAGGCTTCGGACACCAAAACCATATTCTGTGGATAACTGATGGGCACAGTGTCTGCCACAGAGTGTGTGTGTGCTTGCACATGTATGTGGCTCCTCCTCGTTTCATTCCCTGAAAACAAGCAGTGCCCAGGTCTATTTGAGTTCAGCTTTCAGGACTGTCACTCAAACCCTCCACCGTCGGCTGACCATTGTCTAAAATTACCACAAGATAATTTCATCTCTTGACCCTAAGATGTTGATTTTTTTTCAAATATAAATACAGGATTGGGATAGGGTAGTGACTTGTGTCTTGGCATGTTCTCACCACAGGCAGAGAAGACTTCAAAGGGCCCAGGGAAGCAGCTTAAGCCACCAATCTCTGTGCCAAGATCTCCACCCATTTGCGTCACAGAAACAGACCATCATAACCGGATGCAGAAACTTTCCCCATTTTATTGATAGCTAAACAGAGTCCCTGGGAAGTCCAATGGTTCATCTAGTCCAAGTCCAATGGTTAGTGATGGAAAGTTAAGCAATATTCAGGTCACTGGAGAACTTTTGAAATGATTACCTTGTCATATTTTTAGCACAAAACCAGACATCCATCCCTGGCTCCAGGAAATCTTCTTCAAGAGCAGAACATTGTTGTCAATTAGGATGATGTACTGAGGCATCTGTAGAGCCACAATAAGTAAATTATGACTATTTTTAAGGGTGCTTCTTGGGCTGATGGCCTGAAATAAGACACACTTTAGAGAGAAAACACCTTTAAGGCAAGGGGCCTGTTATGTCATACCATCATCACAACAGCCCATAGATGGAGGTGTTGCTATCTCCATTTTACAGATGATAAAAATGTGGACCCACATTTTTCTCCTCTAATAAATGGGTGGTGGGAGCAGAAGCTAGGATTCCAAGCCAGCTCCTTCCCCCTACTTTTTCCCATTAGGGCAGGCAGGCAAATGCTTCACTTGTGTTGCCTCTCACCAAGTACTTCTGTCAGTGATTTTTTTCTTTAATGTAAATTTGTTTTTGAAGTATAAGATGTATGTAGACAGCACACAAATCTTAAGGGTGCTGCTTGATGATGTTTACAAACAACAGGCTAGTAGAACCAGAACTCAATTCAAGCAGTAGAAAATACCAACCCCCCACCCCGCCAAGAAATCCCTCATGCCTCCTCCCCATCACTAACTACTCCCTTAAGGTCACCTCTGCCTAACTTCATCACCTTGCTTTTGCTTTTATACAGAAGATGTCACACAAAATGTACTTTTTTTTCACTCAAAACTATGTCGAAAGATTCCTCCATGGTTTTACATATAATTGTGGTTCCTTCATTCTTGTGGCTGATTAGTGTTCTATATGAAGTTACACAATTTATTTTTACATTCCACTGTTGATGGACAGTAGAAGTGTTGCTTCCAGTTTGGTGCTGTTACAAATAATGCTCCTATGAGCATTTGTGAATGTACATTTTGGTAAACATGCATATGCTTTTCTGTTAGGCATTTGCCCAGGAGATTCAGCAGTTTTAGTCAATGTGCCTAGCTTTCCAAAGTGGTTGTGCAGTTCACATTCCCACTGAAAGCATTGTGAGCATTCTGGTTGCTCTACATCCTCATCAGCACTTAATACTATCTTTTTCATTTCAGTCATTCTTTTTTTTTACTTTCTTAATTTCAATAGTTTTGGGGGAACAGGTGGTTTTTGGTTTCAAGGAAAAAGTCTTTAGTGGTGGTTTCTGAAATTTTGATGTCCTACTCAATGTGTAGTCTTTTATCCCTCAATCCCCTCCCACCCTTTCCCCCAAGTCCCTAAAGTTCATTTTATCATTTTTTATTTTTTAAATATTTATGTATGTATTTATTTATTTATTTACTTATTTTTGAGATGGAGTCTAGCTCTGTCGCCCTCGCTGGAATGCAGTGGCACAATCTCAGCTCACTGCAACCTCCGCCTCCCAGGTTCAAGCAATTCTTCTGCCTCAGCTTCCCGAGTAGCTGGGACTACAGGCAAGCACCACCATACCCGGCTAATTTTTTTATTTTTAGTAGAGACGGGGTTTCACCGTGTTGGCCAGACTGATCTCAAACTCCTGACCTCGTGATCCGCCCACCTCATCCTCCCAAAGTGCTGAGATTGCAGGTGTGAGCCACCGTGCCCAGCCTCATTTTATCATTCTTACGACTTTGCATCCTCCTACCTTAGCTCCCATTTAAAACTGAGAACATAGATGTTTGGTTTTCCATTCCTGAGTTACTTCTTTTAAAATAATGGTCTCCAACTTCATCCAGGTTGCTGTGAATGCCATTATTTCATTCCTTTTTATGGCTGAGTAGTGTTCCAAGGTGTGTGTGTGTGTGTATGTGTGTGTGTACACATATATATATACACACACATTTTGTTTATCCACTAATTCGTTGGTGGGCATTTAGGTTGTTTCCATATTTTTACAATTGTGAATTGTGCTGCTATAAACATGCATGTGCAAGTGTCTTGTTCATACAATAACTTATTTTCTTCTGGGTAGATACCTAGCAGTGAGATTGCCAGATCAAGCAGTAGTTCTACTTTTAGTTCTTTAAGGAATCTCCGTACTGTTTTCCAAAATGGTTGTACTGGTTTACATTCCCATCAGCAGTGTAAGGTGTTCCCTTTTCACCACATCCACACAAACATCTGCTATTTTTTGACATCTGTTATTTCTTAAATTATGGTCATTCTTGCAGGAGTATTTCATTGTGGTTTTAATTTGCATTTCCCTGATAATTAGTGATGCTGGCTTCATAGAATAATTTAAGGAGGATTCCCTCTTTCTCTATCCTTTGGAATAGTTTCAGAAAGATTAGTACCAATTCTTTGAATACCTGATAGAATTCAGCTGTGAATCCATCTGGTCCTTGACTTTTTTTGGTGGCATTTTTTAAATTTCCATTTCAATTTCACTACTTGTTACTGGTCTGTTTGGAATTTCTATTTCTTCCTGATTTAATCTAGGAAGGTTGTATATTTGAAGAAATTTATCTATCTCCTTTAAATTTTCTAGTTTGTGTGTGTAAAGGTGTTAATAATCCCCCTGAATGCTCTTTTGTATTCTGTGGTATCAGTTGTAATATCTCCTGTTTTGTTTCTAATTGAACTTATTTGGATCTTCTCTTGTCTTTTCTTGGTTATTCTCATTAATGGTCTATCAGTTTTGTTTATCTTTTCAAAGAACCTGCTTTTTGTTTTATTTATCTTTTGTATTTTTTTGTTTCAATTTCATTTAGGTCTGCTCTGATCTTTGTTATTTATTTTCTTCTGCTGAGTTTGAGTTTAGTTTGTTCTTGTTTCTCTAGTTCCTTGAGGTGTGACCTTAGATTCATGTTCTTTCAGCTTTTTGATGTAGGCATTTAATGCTATGAACTTTCCTCTTAGCACTGCTTTGACTGTATCCCAGAGGTTTTTATAAGTTGTGTCACTATTATTGTTCAATTCAAAGAATTTTTACATTTCCATCTTGATTTCATTGTTGACCCAAAGATCATTCAGGAGCAGATTATTTAATTTTCATGTATTTGTATAGTTTTGAGGGTTCCTTTTGGAGTTAATTTCCAATTTTATTCCACTGTGGTCTGAGAGGATACTTGATATAATTTCGATTTCCTTAAATTTATTGAGACTTGTTTTGTGGCCTATCATATGGTCTATCTTGGAGAATGTTCCATGTGCTGAAGAAAAGAATGTATATTCTGCAATTGTTGGGTAGAATGTTCTGTAAATATTTGTTAAGTCCATTTGTTCTAGGGTATAGTTGAACTATATTGTTCCTTTGTTGACTCTGTCTTGGTGAACTGTCTAGTGCTGTCAGTGGAGCACTGAAGTCCCCCACTATTGTTGTGTAGTTGTCTATCTCATTTCTTATGTCTAGTCATAATTGTTTTATAAATTTGGGAGCTCCTGTGTCAGGTGCCTGTATATTTAGGATTGTGATATTCTCCTCTTGGACTGATCCTTTTATTATGATATAATGTCCCTCTTTGTGTTTTTTTTTTGGGGGGGGGGACAGAGTCTCACTCTGTCACCCAGGCTGGAGAGCAGTGGCGTGATCTCAGCTCACTGCAAGCTCCACCTCCTGGGTTCACGCCATTCTCCTGCCTCAGCCTCCCGAGTAGCTGGTACTACAGATGCCCACCACCACACCCGGCTAATTTTTTGTATTTTTAGTAGAGACGGGGTTTCACCATGTTAGCCAGGATCGTCTTGATCTCCTGACCTTGGGATCCACCAGCCTTGGCCTCCCAAAGTGCTGGGATTACAGGCCCGAGCCACCGCGCCCAGCCCCATCTTTGTCTTTTTATCTTTTTAAACTGTTGTTGCTTTAAAGCCTGTTTTGTCTGATATAAGAATAGCTACTCCTGCTTGCTTTTGGTTTCCATTTGCATGGAATATCTCTTTCCCCCCTTTACCTTGAGTTTATGTGAGTCCTTATGTGCTAGGTGAGTCTCTTGAAGACAGCAGATACTTGTTTGGTGGATTTTTATCCACCTTAATGTGGTGCTCTCCTGCTTCCCCTAGGGATGGGGCTACCTGAGAGCTGGACTGCAAAGATTGTTATTGCTCTTCTGGGTCTAACCATGCAGCGGGGCTACCAGGCTCTGGGCTGGTGCTGGGAAATGTTTGCAAGGAGTCCTGTGATGTGATCTGTCTTCAGGTCTCCCAGCCATGGATACCAGCACCTGCTCTGGTGGAGGCGGCAGGGGAGTGAAGTAGACTCTGTGAGAGTCTTTGGTTATAGATATGTTTAGTGTACTGGCTTTCTCTAATGCTGGTTATGCTAGCAGTGAGGTCGTAATATGGACAGACTTGGGAACCAATGGTTAGCCAGGATTTGGCAGGCAGTGGAATTAACTCCTGTTTTCTTCTTCCATGGAGCAAGGTTGTTCTGTCGTGAGTTGCTGTAATGTCCTGAGTTGGTTGGCCTCCAGCCAGGAGGTGGCGCTTTCAAGAGAGCACCAGAGTTCTTTTCCTGTCTCACAGAATTTGCAGTGGCTTGCCACTTCTTTTCATTAGGTTAATTACATCTGAGGGTTACAGACTGAATACAAATTTAGAAATAGACAAACATATGAGTCCTCATTTTTACATTAATATATAAATTAAATATAAGTAGACAATAAAAAGTAGAAGAAAAGCCTATTTTTAGAAAAGACCAAATTAATAGCTCCTAACAGTGTCAGGGACATTTATTTGTTCATCAGTTGAGTCTGCATAGACAATCTTGGAATCATCACAGCTGTTTGAGCAAACTTGGATTGGAGGACAGGCTGTGCAGTTAACTCTGGGTATGAATTTTGGCTAAATATTTGACAACTTCTAAGCAGATCCTATCAGAGATCTTCATCACTCCAGACTTCAGTCTCAGGCATCACAGGAAAGAGGAAATCATCATTTTAGTCTTCCTTGTTGGTATGTAGCAGAGTCATATTATGGTATTAATTTCTACTTTCCTGATGATTCATGAAGTTAAGCACTTTTACATATGTTTATCGGCCATTTGGATATTCACCTTTGTGAATAGTGATTCTTTTTCAGTTTTAACTTTGGTCAAAAAATAGTTCTAAGAATAGTTCCCATACTGGAAAATTCTGTGCTTCACTTCCTATCTAGGTGATTATTTCCAAGCTTTGACATTTGGTAGTTCTAAGAAAAGCCTCAAAGCCAGGGGAGGTGAGAAAGAAGAGCCAAGGGAATGGGCACAGCCAATGCTGGGCATTCTCTGAGCTCTTAATGTTCCACAGTGGGGGCAGGAACTCAAGGACTTTCTCTGTGCACTTTGGGATTGTCAGTTTACTCTCCCCTCAGAAGTGAGGAGAGATGATTTATATTTCACATTTAGAGCTAGCAACGTACTCTGAACTCCTTTTCTTTCTCCCTTTGGAATTTAGACTCTAGATTGATTTCAATGACTGCAGAGAGATGAAGATAAAAGGCATCTGTCCTCTTCAGCCCCTAATTGGGCAGGCAACACACAAGGAGTTGGGTTTGCTGACAAGGCTAAGCATTTTGGACGTTATGTGCCTAGGGTGTTAAAGTGATAAGAAAATCTCTTAAGGTCTGCCAATGATTTTGAAATTTTAACAGCTCAGTTTTCCTGATGCCAGATGGGGGACAGGGAGTGGGAGAACTGGGTACAAGGGTGTTGCTGGAGGAGAGATGGGGACACCCTGAGGGAGGGTTGTCAAATGTTGGCCTAGGCACAGTGATTGGGTGACTGGAGGTGAGCAATCAGCCTTCTGGGCCTGGAAAATAGGGCATGGCTGGGCTTCCCCTGTCCAGCCTCATTTTCTATGAGGATCAATATACTGTCTCCATATTTGACTGTTCTGGAGGTTTTGTACAAGTGGAATTATACAATAAAAATAATAAATAATTGTTTTAAAAAGAGGATACAGAGGTGAGTGTTTGAAGCCACTAGTGCTCCCTGCAGATAGCCTTGGGATCTGGCCTCAAGTGAAGGAGAGCTGGATGTACTCTTGTGCACAGCTTCCAAAGCATGTGCCCCGAGCCCCACTTTCATTTTAATGGCTCCCCTTATTAACTGTGCGGCTCAGGTAAATAAAAATTCCTGTAAAACATATTCTTGACTCTTGACTACATTCCCATGTAAAAAGTACTTCTCACTGCAGGTCGTGATAAAAAATGTTTGAAAGCTGCAGGCCTCGGGTGGATCTGTAGAGGGCCTTTCTCTGTGGTACTATTCCTATCACAGTTCTTGTGTTAGTATTCACCACTCAACAGTTTTATTGTATCTTAGTATAT